ATACGACCCAACGACCCCCATTGGGGATTCCCTAGCTTGTGACGTGCCCTGCTCCATACCCATTAGGAGAAAAACCCAGAGATAAACATTAGTGAGAAATCGTACGCTGTTAAGCTTCATGACCAATATCTATGTGATCCCTTGAAACACCCATTTATTCAGAGAGCTGAGATTCAGACTCTGAGGGCAGTAGAGAAATTGGACAACCTTTGAATTTTTCAGCTATTGACTAAGACCTTTTCGATGCGCCACGCGCTCTACGTCCATCCGGAATCCTCGCGATTTCTGCTGTGGAGCCGGTCGGTGTGAAAGTCAGTGTTTTTGTGTTTGCAGGCGAATCTGGTACTAATATATGCAACGATAAAGAGGAACAAAAGGCTTGGTCCCAACAGTTGGGAGAGAGCAGATGGACTCGTCCAGGAGCGGAATCAGGGTGTCAGCATTGATCGCGCGCATTGCAGATATTGTGGCGTTGAACGTGTATTTTTGTGAATAGTGTCAACTGTGGTGCGGTTTCAGGAGTCGTCGAGCGCAAAACTGAGGACAACTGGAAATGGCGCGACGATCAGGGCCATCTTTTGGACGAAAAAAATCAGCGAACATGGAAGGTAAAAGCGAACGCCCGTCGGTTCTACGCCCTTTATAACACCGCCGTTGTTCTCATGCTTTTGTTCGATCTCGCTCTCGGTCAAATTGCTCGAAATCTAAAAAAGCAGAAATTTGCTTCTTTAGATTTCGAGCATTTTGACCGAGAGTGAGATATAACAAAATGTTCAACACTTTTCCCAGAAAAGGCCTAATGGGCGCAATTCAAGGGATAATAAGGGGAAGGGGCGGATGAAACAGCTTCGCAGTAAGGGCCATCCCTTACAATTACATATTAGCTGTTACCTATGAATATTTGTTATTTTCTCAATTTTATGGCGAACTGGACACGGTACTTCGTGACGGGCCAGGCGAAGCAAGGCATTGGAGTCGCACGGTAGAAGTCCTTCCTTCAGGTTTGTGAAACTGCGTCTTTTCTGAAGGAGTGAGCACGACGGCAGGGGCGGGCGGTTACCGCGGACGTCATTGGTAGGAGGGTTGCGAGAGGGCGTTTAACCGCACCCACTCCGTCCTCCGACCAATGACGATGGCAGTAGCGCTGGCCCTCAGCCATCGTGTCCACTGCCTTTACATTGAACGCCGCTTGAATTGTAGGCAATACACGCGCATACCCCGTTTCTCGCGTTTGTGTATTGCCCACAATTCACGTTTTGTGGGTCGGTTTTTTCGTGGATAATAGTGCGACTTGAACCATTCTCACCGAGTATATGTTCAGTGAGCTTTGCTTATGCTTAGTTCTTGATGGCGTGAAATAAGCTGCTCATTGAAGTAATTCATTAATATTACAAAATAACAGTCAGTAATTGAGTGTTATTTTAATTCTTATGATAGCTCCGCATCACTACAATGGTAGTAAGACTACTAGTGATAATTAATAATAATTTGCAATATATGATAGTGTTTAATTCATCTTCTACTTTGTCCAGATTCATCTATGCAGCTAAAAGAAGTCATCATTCATATTGAACAATGTAGAAATGAGCGCAAAAGTAACCAGAATGAGCGTGTAAAGGGGCATGCGGCACAAAGACTCCCGTTTCGCGCGCGCAATTCACGCGCGCGGAGACGCAGGAAGTGAAAACGGGAGTCGCCGCAAAAAGGCCGCGGCGTTCAACGTGTTAAAGCAAATTATGAGATTTTGCCAAGTGTGAACCCCTCTTGAATACCTACTGAGTTCTGACCTTCTACTAACCGAGGGAGTGCCTCTGGCAATCGCGACACTATTTGATGGAGTGGGTAGTACAGTAACGACCCTTTTTTTCCAGGTGACACCCGCTTCCAAGATGTCAGCAGGCAGTATAACCGAGACTTTGTAGTCGAGGTGGGTGGAATTGTAAGCTTACTTGGTTATGTGACCCTCACTAACTCACGTTTTTTTTTTCCAGAGCATCGTCCGTAACTATTGACGCTCTTCTATTTGTATAATTAGTATATGAACGTCATTCGAATAAATATTTTGCTTTCGTCGTTGCGATGATTATTCTTTTTGATATTAGTGAAATATCGTTCAAGGTGATATGAAAGACATGAGTACACGTGCTTTTCGAAGTGACCGCTAGTTTATCTTCGGTTATTTTACTTATTTATTATTTGCTAGGCACGCATGGGTGAAAAAAAACAAAAAAAAATGTGCCCGAATCTGGATGAGTTAGACAGCGAAACATTCAAGCGATATGCAAAAAAAAACCCGACAAATTCAGGCAAATACACACCGGCAGAAAACTCTTCACACCTCAATATTTTAGAAATCCTCAATTCCTAGTAAAGCGAGTAGGTCAACTCCCTTCAATTTCTTTTTGTAACACGTTGGTATTTGGCGCCTTCTGTAGGTCTGATGGCAGTGACTGGAGCCATCTCGCTCCACGGAAAAATAATGAGTTAAAAACCTTAGATCTATGGCTAATGCACAATTTCGGGCATTGCAGGGACAGCGAAGAAAAACCGCCCCTGCGTATCCCTAACACAGTACTTACTAGGCTTCAATCTTAACTCTCCTTTGAGTAACTTGAAGCAGAACAAAATGTCATTAAACACCCTTCTATATAGTAATGACTTTAGGTTGAAAAGCTGTAAGCGCTCTCTATAGCTGGGTAAACCACGTGGATATAACGGGCTGGGATAACATCGGTACATCAGAATTCTGGTGAAAGTTTGCTGAACTTTTTCAACTTTTGCCTGAAGTTTTTTGGTGTAAGGGCTCCATATCTGAGAACCGTATTCAAGTATGGGGACGACATATGCTTTATAGAGCCTCAGCAATTTTAGTGCGCTAATGACCAAGGCAGTGTGCACGATGGCTGGGGTGAGTGGTTGCTGCCGCCGTCATTGATGGAAGCACTGAATGGGGGTTGGCCAAATGCCTTTTCACAGCCCCCTGCCAATGACGTTGGCAGCAACCGCCCGCCTCCAGCCATCGCACCCGCTGCCTTGGAGCCGGGGTCCTACGTAAAAACGAGAAGCCATCAGCAGGCTCGGCGCACTAATGAGCTGGGTTCCTTTCCGTTTTCTCTGCGCTGTCTCGTCTGCAAGACATCCTATGACCACTATCATCATACACCCCTTTCACGCATGATATGTGGCTACCCCCCCCCCCCGAACAGTCCCCTCCTCCTTGTAAAAGCCCATCTCCTAGCTCGCAACATATTATTTCGTATCCTTTGATGCTTTGGTAGCCGCAGAACCCGATTTGTATGCGCACAGGTTTTCGCATCTGGACCATGCAGAACAGCTCGGTCACATAATCCATCCCTAGTTCCGGTCAAATCATTTGGAGACAAACCGCAAGCTCATCCATTTTGTAGAATTCCTTAAGTGCGTAATTCCAAAAAGATTGCCGCGAGAAAAATGGAACTGCCATGCACTATTTGTGCGTGTAGGCGTCCATTATGTTAGTGGGCGGGACTTCCACAATTCGCGAGCACCTATTGCATTTTCAAGCAGTTCACGTGTTGGATCGTCACTAACTGCGGTTCTGGCTGCCGTTCGCACGGGAAGAATTCGATCATTTCGGAGTCGCGGAATGTTCTACTCTATTATCTTTTTCGCAAGTGGAGCGGTTGCTGGAAAGAAGCAGGGGTGGAAATACTATTGCAGCTTATGGTACCAGTGCAGGGATATCTCCAGGGTTACTGCTTCAGTCTACAATCAGAAAAAGCTGTTATCTGACCGATGCTCACATACTACTGGCGCATTCTTTTGTTTTTCCTGGCGCTTACGGATGATATGAAGTGCTCAATGTACCTAAACTCGGCCTGTTTCCTCAATGTGAGCATTCTGTCCATTTATGAAGCAACTATATAAGGTTCATAGCGCGGCACACTGATGGTGCGTGTTAGGGGCGTCATGAGCTCAGAGGTGGCCTGAAGCGTACAACAATTGGTAGAAAACGCAGCTTCGGACGGGCTCATTCCGCGCCCCCACCCCCCTGACACACCCCATCACTCCGCCATGTTATGCACAATAAAAAGCCCTTTCCGCCTTTCTTCCATGGTAGCTTTCACACACTAAAAAGTTGCACTGCGACGCAGCAGCGGCCTACTTTGAACAGTGTGTGAGGGTGGAGCAAGTGGTCACTGCGCGACATCGCACATCATTGAAAGTGCCGCGCGCAACAACTGATTTGAGGCGTTCACTGATTACGCCGTGGTTCAGCAACGTCAGCAGGGGCCGTTTCCCGGTCACTGGGTACTGAGTTCCATTTGAGTCTTCAAAAGCTTAAGGGAGGGGCCATGTTAGCACTATTAAAATGGGTCTGCATTAGTTTGAAAATATTCGAAATTTTGAGGTTTTCGAGAAGGAACAATAATTTTCACCATTTCTGATGTGCTTCCCCTTGCCCGGTGAATATCGTTTCTAGGGAACTGAAGATAAGGAAGGTGAAGCCATATTTCGCTTCAAGAGGGACACATTGAGGAGGCGGTGGCGTCTTAATGACCAATCCTGACGAACCGTGTTTTTCATTTAGTGTGGGAATAGATGGAGACGCAGAAAACCTGAATCGTGGTTTTGAAGGGAGCAAAACAGAGCGTGGACTGACACCCGAATCAATTACGGAGGTAACAATGGAGCAAAATTAGGCGTCAGTACGGTACCTTCGAGATACGCAATCGCAGTTAACTGCTCTGACGACATCTGTCAACACAGGAGTTTCTCTTATTTATCCCCTCATTCTTCGTGCATCCTTCCTTTCCTCCATTCCTTCTCCAGTTCGCCACACTCCCTTTGCTTCCGATGAATGTTTAGTCAGATGACTTAAATGGAGATTGCCTCGGGACTGTTACAGCGAGAGAAGGCAGTACAATGTGATTCTGATTCGCTTTGTGAACATTTCTGTGCTTTTTATTCGTCTGTTAGTAATGTTGCTCTGATTTCTGCTAAGTGAGCTTTCAGATAAGATGGACAATTATGATGAGGCGAGCGCGTCATCGGAAAGCCAGAGCCTTCTGGACACCGCGTCGCAGTTGGAAAATAAGGTAAAATGTTTTGGTATAAATTTTGTTGATTGTATTCATTAAACTAATAGTAGAGGCTTCGGTCATATGATGAAGTCTGGCGCCATGAAAGAAGCTGCTTGGTTACGGATTTTGTGAGATTTTTTTGAACTGTGTAGTATGAAGCATTGTGGGCTAGCTCTTCGAGTTTGTTTGTCTTCAAAAGGTCCATTCTTTGGTTTTTACTTTTACTGTGGTTCGCGTTAAGGCTGTGTTCATATTTTGTGTCAGCGTTTTTAGTGTCTCGAGCGTGCGCCAGCGTTTTGAACCACTGTCCGCGAAACTCTTAGAAGGCTGACGTGCGCACAGAACGCTGACGCAAACTATGGACCCACTCTCACTCCTAAAATGGAAGTGTTTTGATGTCTAATTTTCATGGAAGATGGTGCTGGTAAACGCCGCCTTTACTCTTTTGCTCACAATTGGCTTGTATCCATGAAATTGGGGGTTTTCATCACACTGGAAACAGTTTTGTTTACATGCATTCGAATTAGTACCTTATATTATAGGTTGCGAGGTGCCGCTCCGCCCCGATTCACGTGATTCGCGGGGAACTATGTGTTCCTAACCTTATCTCGTTATCAACGACTTTTTTATAAAACTAGTTCCCTGCCGCCATACTGCAGTGATTTCGTCATGTGTCATGCCGTTACATTGTCGATACTTTCATCAGTAGCTAATTCAAGCCTTTTATTTATTACGCTGAAATAGTCGGATATTCGGCTGCATACATATTTGCATCAGCGTTTCCAGGGATAAGGAAAGTGCTGATACTAATCCAGCGTTTCGATTGTCCACCAACGTTTGCAGCCCCTCTCAGTGCTTTGAGCGACTAAAAAAAAGCATGAGTATTGACTATGGCTAGATAAGCTCGCTGAGAACTCTAGGTCGACACATACAGTTTCCTTGTCACTCCAAACGCTGCCGCAGAGTATGAATGCAGCCTCAGCATTGCATAAGAGGGTTTTAAAACGAACAAATAATTGCTGTTTAACGAAGCAGGTGGCGTTCCGAAAGTTACCGCAAGAATGCTGAGTTATTGGGCAAAAGCCGAATCCCAGGCGGGAGTCGAACCCGCACCTCACGCTTTCCGGGCGAGTGCGCTATCCGTTACGCCACCAGGGCCGCTTTTACCCTCTCAGCTTAACGGCTTTTATGCCGTAGCCTATCAGCACTCACACGTTTAACTTGGTGAGCCGGTCAGCCGTAATCGTTAGATATCGGCAATGAACCGCGAGGCCAAAGGCTTCTTTCAGTTGTTTCATTATTAGGTGTTTAATGCCGCAGTTTGCTTTCTGAGAGGGTAAGAGCGGCCGTGATGGCGCAACGGATAGCGCACTCACCCGGAAAGCGTGAGGTGCGGGTTCAAGCCCCCTGGGGTCAGACTTTTGCCCATAACTCAACGTTCTCCGGACAACAGACAAGTAAGTTGGTATAGGCAAAACAGACAAAAAAAGCCACTGCTATGTCTAGAAATTTCGCTCGAGTTACCTCATGCGCCGTCTTCATGTAATATTGCCATTAAGTGCCCCTTGTACGAAGTAATTTGGGTCTTATACCAATGGCTTCTAAGAAACTCTTACTAGAAAATACCAGCCGATGGAAAGGTGGTGGTTGTTTACGAAAATGGTGATTTGCAAACTGAAAAACAGAGAGGATGTCGAACTTCAGAGCCCCATAAGGAGTGTCGACGTGAGTCCATTCAGTAGGGGAGAAAGTTGTTTGAAGAAAAGAATTGAAAAACTGCTTGCAGAGTGTTCTCAAAGAAGCAGAGAATATTATGACTGATGGACCCTTGAAGGCTTCCGAAAACAGGGAACATCAGCAAGTCATACTGGACGAAGTGGACGTTGAATATAGGTGTGTGCTCTTGGGTCTCTTAGTGTGTGTGTTCATACTTTTTTGTCGCCGTTCTATGCTTTTTGAGCTTTTAAGAAAGTACAGGTATTGAGTTTAGTTTTTCGAGCGCACTCCGGCGTTGTGATCGTTTTGGCCGGCAGTCACTGAAGACGCTGGCGTACGCCTGAAAACAGTGGTTTCTTTGCCAATGGCCCAAAACACTGACGCAAAGTATGAACGCAGACCTGCGACTTTTTAAAAAGTTTTGAGATCTTCTAATCATGAACGTATAGTGCTCCTCTAGATAGTGATTTTTCAAAAGATCAAACATTATACTAGAAGTTTTCCCCATTCGATAAGATCTTTTCAGTCCCAAAAAGTCATCGCATCCAATTGAAATTGTCGTCCGCCACAATAAGGTGGTGGAACAACCAACAGAAGATAGCGACGAAGGCGAGGAGAACCCACCAGCTCAGTCGAAGAGGCTGTCAACCGTGCATGAAGGTGAGTTTAGTAGAGAAATCACGCACTTGTTTATCTGATGTCTGACAAACCTTTTTTGCATTTGCAGGCAAACAAAGCGACTCTCCAAAAGCTTGTTCGTCTTCGGCGATTAAGGGAACCACTGAAAAATGGACTCGTGGGCACCGTCGTGCTTGGAGTATGCCCAACGCTAAGGGTGAAAAGATGACGCTTTCTATAATTCAGGACAAGGAAACAATGGTGATTTTTCCACTTATCTTTATCATGAGTGAATCCAGGCAGCATCCTTAAAAAAACAGTTGCCTGTTGAGTTCCAGTGTTGCTCTGCTTCTTCTCATGTCGGTGTATGTATCGGGTGGGGAACTGATAGATTCAAAAATACACTACGCATTGGCTGCGACGTGTGTTGCAGTAGAAAGGCTTCGTTCATACTCTACGTCAGCCTTTTGAGCGTTTGGGCCGTACGGCAGCGTGTGCAGCGACTACGTGCGAAAAGTTCAAAATACCCGCGAAGTGTCCAGTGTACGCACGAAATGCTGATGCAAAGCGTGAACGCAGCCTAGGGGTGATTGCATAGAAAAAGCAAATTCGAGGAGGTCGCATCGACGGCCCCAAATTTACTTTTCCTATCAAGAGTTCAGGATCTCTCGGCACAGTTACTTTTTCATGAGGAAGAATCCTTCTTTATCATGCTATCTGTGAAGATGGTGTAGTGTCAAGTAGCTCGCTTACCATGCGCGTGATTTGAGGATTAAGTTCCCGGATCGGCATCCTAAAAAGGGATTGATCAACGTTGAAAGCTCTGCCGGTAATTTTTTACGCTGTTTGTCGCAGACGAATGGCAATACTCACCGACGTCGGGTACTGCGATGTCGCCTTCATCCTAACAAGAAGCCTCGTGGAGCGGCGGGCTTCGATGAAGAGAATAAAGACGGGCTCGCGGCGACCGCGCTGAGATTCGATCTAAGTGGGATGCCACCCCTGATGAAGATGACAACGAACTGGAGGTTTTTCAGTTTCATTATTTTGTAAAAAACTAGAAGATAAACAGGATTCTGTTCTCAGGTTGAAATCAATGAAGAAGAAGTTGTGGTGCCTGGTGAATCTGGCAAAGGAGCAAGGACGATCATTAAGAGGGTTATTTCAGAGCTATACTGAAGTGCTTTGATGACGCTCATCCTTTGAAAATGTTTTTTTTTCAGTTTTGGGAAGCGAGATGGAAAGCTACAAATTTTGAATATCTTCCGGAGTGGTTGCAAGACAACGAATACTTGAGAACAGGTCGGCTTCTTGCTGGATTATTATGAAGTTTTCTGTTTATCCCATGCTAGATTGTGACTCTATTTGTGAAAACAGTGCCCTCAAATTCCCTTTCTCCTTAGTAAACTCTCCTGTACTGCAGGTCACCGTCCACCGCTTCCTTCGTTTAGCAGTTGCTTCAAGAGCATCTTCGCTCTTCATACAGAGACTGGCAACATCTGGACTCATATGTATGGTAAGTTTTCAGTCGAAGTTGTGAAACGATTGTCTCTGAAATTATTGCACGTTCCTTTTCCCCATTACCCTGAATGGCGATAAATGGGGTGGTTTTTCTTGCCATTAGATAGCGAAAAATCAAAATTACGTCCAGCACACAACGCCAAATTAGATTTGGGGTAACATCCTGATTAGTTTAATCCGACTTGTTTTTGCAACTTCTCCATTCGGGCGAGTGCTGCGTTCATACCTTGTGTCGGCGATTTGAGCGTGCGGCGGCGTTCTGCCCGCGCTGCTGCTCGCACAACGCTCAAAACGCTAGATTGATACCTGTACTTTCCTAGTCGCTCAGAATGCTCACACAAAGCATGAACACAGTCTAAGCCGTCCATCGCTAGAGATCGTTTGCGCATCATCCCCATTGGTGATCAAACATCTTCAGAGAAAAAATTGGCTGACCTAGTTGTACCTTCTGCGGTCGTGTTTGATCCACGATGTTCTTCTGTACTACAGCTCCTTAACCCCCGAATGCATGTGTATGATATATCAAATTTCAGGTTGTGTGGCTTTCATTGGTGTTGCTTTGTGGTTTCTCACTCGCCCAGCATCACAAATTCAGTTCATGGACAAAGTGGTTTTCTCTACTTACTTTTTGGGGGCCATATTGTGTCTCGGCATGTCGTTCATATTCCACACAGTCGCTTGTCATTCGGATACCGTTGGGAAGCTATTTAGCAAGTACGTTTCTTGCCAGTACTGTCTGTGAACTACTAGTTAGGTCGGCGAAATTTTCGCCGGGGGATGTGCTGTTCAGTCTTCTGCTTCTGCCATGAAGTTCCATGCGTGAGAGCCATGCGTTCCACATTGTTTTGAGGTGTTTCTCCAGGCGGTGTTCAGGGCATTGAACGTCTTAATTGTATTGCCGTTTGCATATTAGACGAAACTGCTGTATCTGCGACTGTGAAAAATCGTACCGGTGGCAGACGTGGGATGTAATTTGATTGGCTCGACCCACTAGCGAATGCCCATTTCTTTAATCGTGGATCCTCCGGAAACGCCAGTGGTCTGAGGCAATCGTTTTCCAGCTGATCCACTGCCTTCAAAATCCCGAATTTTTCGAAATCGCAGATTCATACGATTCACGGAGTGTCCGTGATCCCAAACATGCACACCGGGAACCATGAACGCGGCCCAAACTTATTTCTTGGTATCGGAACTAGAGAACTTTGAGTGGTTTTCAGACTGGACTATGCTGGAATCGCGCTATTAATTGTTGGATCGTTCATACCATGGCTTTATTATGCGTTTTACTGCCGCCCGCAGCCCATGGTGATTTATATCACAATGATCAGCGTGTTGGGACTGCTAGCAATGATTGTCTCATTATGGGACAAATTTGCGCAACCAGCATTCAGGTTTGCTACATTTTAACATTTCATGAAAGAGATTAGTTTACCTGAGAATTCTTAGACCAGTACGAGCGACCATCTTCGTTGCTATGGGACTTTCAGCGGTGTTCCCCGCTGCTCATTTGCTATTTGTTGATGGACTGGAATTTCTTTACCAAAAGGTGTGTCTTGGTGGGAATCCTTAGTGATCTTGCATAACATTTACCAGAAGTTACTCTATTTTAGGCATCGTTAGTGTGGATGCTTCTCATGGGTTTCATGTACATCGCCGGCGCCGCGATTTATGCCACAAGAATTCCCGAACGATGGTTCCCTGGAAGGTGCGACTTATGGGTGAGTGAAATAATTGGAATTCGTGAGATATTTAATGTTTTATTGTTTACCTCAACGCTTGGTAATAGACTAATTCGGCGGTTTCAGTTCCAATCTCATCAGCTGTTTCATACGTTTGTTGTTATTGCGGCATTCATCCATTTCCATTCCATAACTGAAATGGCCGAGAAGAAATTGATGGAGGGATCGTGCGCTGAGCAGCTGTTAGAGAGGTTAATTTTCCCCATTATCTTTTTTTTTTGGAGTTTTGGCACACTTGAATTTTCCTTCCAGGTACGGAGTCGAGTCTAATCCCTCTTTGCTCGGTGGGTGGTTAGGCCTAGACGAGGACCCAAATATAATCTCTTGGAGTGGTGTTCGTTACTGAGGCTATAATTGGCTTAGTAATATAACAGTGTAGTATAGGCTGTCGAGCTATTGCAAGGCTGCTGTATAAATTATTTTCACTGTTCGTTTCTTTATTTGTCCCTTCCAGTGTCTATGATGAATTCTGATTATAATGAATTTGAACCTCTATTGTACATAAACGGAAGAGCTTCTTCTTCATGTGTTCACCGTAAAAATGTTTTTACTTTCGCTTCTGTACCTCTTGTAGTTCCTATTAACATTGTATCATAGTGAGTTGTTTCATATAAGAGAACGTTCGCGTTCATTTCTCTACTCATGGACAAAATCATACCTTGAATTCGAAAAAGTTCGGTTTATGGAAAAGTCCGTTAGGCTGCGTTCCTGCTTTGCTTTTGTTTTCCTTTTGGGCGTACGGCAGCTTTTCGAGTAACGGAAAGTGTAGCATCGACCTAGCGTACGTCAGCGTATAGAAATCAATTAAACGTTTTCACCAGCTACCGGCGAAAGTTCAAACCTGCCCGAGTAAATGCTCAAAACGCTGGCGGACGCTAGAACGCTGACGCCAAGTATGAGCGCAGCCTTTTGCATGTTTCTGACTGTTTATGTGTTTTGTTGTAAAATCTCATATAGTTCCTCCGGTTCAGGGAATCAACACTCATTTCTTATGTCCCTGCTGGAAGTTTGCTGAAGATTTCGGTGTGCTTGTCTCAATAACCCTTGTAGAAATGGCGCAGCAAGTGCAAGTAATTAGGACTAAAATGAACGGAGTTTTTTTCTTGGTTGCGTTATTCGAGCAGTCATAAATTCATTTCTGTCTTCTGAAAAGTACAGCACAAGGAAGCAGTCATGTCCTGAGATATTTTGCTGTGACTGGAGTGGTGCTGATGCGGCGAGTGATGTCGTGATGGTCCCGTCGGAGGTGACGAAGGCAAGCGAGAAACTATCGTAATGTGATTTTTGAAGTGGAAGGCAATCGAATAGAGATTTTGCTATGGGATGTTTTGACAGGAGCTCGCTCCTGAGGTGAGAATCGATGCGTGCTCGGTGGGGTCGCTTCGGAGACCTTATAAACACAGAACTTAGGTGTTATAATTAAGGCTAGAAAGGGACCGATAAGTGAAATGTACCATTTTCACTTTAAATTCACCACTTTTCAAACCAAATTCACCACTTTTCAAACCAAATTCACCACTCTTCTTAGACCAGGCAGTTCACCAACCAAATCACGCCAGACACCACCGCGAACCCTGCCCCGACGGTCACGCCTACTTGTCAGCGCGGACATAGATTTTCAACACATGACTGACTCCGCCCATTCTTTAAGTTTGTTGCGAACTTCAAATCTTCATAACTTTTTCAATTTTTAATTTCACATCCACTCTTCGCACAACGAAGGTACTCGTAGACGCGCATTCATGCACCGGCAATTTAGGCTCCGCCCCTTTGGCCACGCCCACTTGCCGTTTGCGGAATTATGATATTTTTTCAAAATTTTGCATTTTTGGACTGCCCCATGAAGCCCCGCCCACTATGAGAGGCTCCGCCCACTTCGGAGAAGCCCCGCCCACTTTTCAAAAATGGTGCAACTCGGCAGTATAGAGCCTTGGCTTGCTAGGGTCCCGTCCTCAGTAGGAACAAATAAATCAGGCAAAGTTTGTTCCTAATGACCAGCAATACCCTTGCCATGCAAGCCATGGCTCTATACTGCCGATTGCACCATTTTTGAAAAGTGGGCGGGGCTTCTTCAAAGTGGGCGGAGCCTCTCACAGTGGGCGGGCTTCATGGAGCAGTCCAAAAATGCAAAAATTTTGAAAAAATATCATAATTCCGCAAACAGCAAGTGGGCGTGGCCAAAGGGGCGGAGCCTAAATTGCCGGTGCATGAATGCGCGTCTACGAGTACCTTCGTTGTGCGAAGAGTGGATGTGAAATTAAAAATTGAAAAAGTTATGAAGATTTGAAGTTCGCAACAAACTTTAAAGAATGGGCGGAGTCAGTCATGTGTTGAAAATCTATGTCCGCGCTGACAAGTAGGCGTGACCGTCGGGGCAGGGTTCGCAGTGGTGTCTGGCGTGATCTGGTTGGTGAACTGCCCGGTCTAAAAAGAGTGGTGAATTTGGTTTGAAAAGTGGTGAATTTGGTTTGAAAAGTGGTGAATTTGGTTTGAAAAGTGGTGAATTTGGTTTGAAAAGTGGTGACTTAAAAGTGAAAATGGTATATAAAGCGGTATCGCTGCAATCAGTCGGGGCGGTGTCAAGAGGCGTGGAGTGTGCCCATCCGCGGCGTTTTCTACCACTTTTGTTTTCTTACTGAATCGCTACTCGATCAGTATTGGTAGAAAATGCAACCAAGCTCATTCTATCTCTTCTATCCCACCCTGCTCGACTGCAAGTATAGCAGCCGTAGGAGTACTGACGATATTAGTCAAGATCCATTCCGCGATATCATGGAGCATGGGCGTCGGCTCGCAAATATCGTGCCTTCTGTTCTGGATTGCCACCAAAACCTGCCGATGCACCCTTTTATGACTGCCTGATTGATATGTATAACCCATAGGGAACATTGAGACATGTGATTATGACCCATAGGTAAATAGTTAGATACTCGATGCGTGACCTCTCCTGTATTGAGAGGCACGCCTAGATTAAGTTAGCATTCTACCACACCACCACCGAGACCACCCCGTCTCGGACTACCTAGAGACCACCCCGTCTCAACTATATTGTATTCTACCGCAACTACAACGAGACCACCCCGTCTCGTCAATAAAGCCATATAGGCCTACACATTTCGTCGTTGTAGTAATATGTTTATTGGGGAGGGACCGTCAGGTAGTAGAATGCACACTTAATCTAGGCGTGCCTCTCAATACAGGAGAGGTCGCGCATCGAGTATCTAACCGTTTACCTACGGGTCATAATCACATGTCTCAATGTTCCCTATGGGTTATACATTCAGGCAGTCATAAAAGGGTGCACCGGCAGGTCTGGTGGCAATCCAGAACACCTTCCTCATTTTGTGAGATCAGTAGTTATTTCAAGAATTACTGTGCCATAAGCTTCGTAAGCGATGCAGTTGCGAATAAGACGACAAATATTGTGCAGGATTACTGAAGAAAAGGTAGAAAGAGGGGAGCTTCAACCCCTTGCGAAACAAACAACCGACCTCATGGGTTACTACCTAATTACTTTCTATATAAGGGGAGTGAGGGAAACTCAACGAAGTGGTTTAGTTCCCGTCTTGCACACTCCCTCTGAAAGCTGATCAGCTTTTTGTGCTCATCAGTAAGGGGAGATAACAGGAAAACTTCACATAATATACTTAATTATAATGAAAAGTTATTTCAAAGCCGCGTCCCCGTTGCAAAGTGGTAAGTGGTGCGGCTCAAGTATTATTGGCAAGATAGTTAGTAGCGAAGAAAAAACAGGAAAAGGTCCCACCCGAAATGCTTCATAGAACGTCGTGCCGAATCGCGCACCTCAGGCCGCGTTCATACATGACAACGTTGCAGAAATGACAAAATTGCAAACGGAATTGTATACGTATCGATTTAAGAATTTCTTCCTCCCAATTCCGCGGAATTTGCAGAAATGCCGAAATGACGGACAACGACTTGATAGGGATTGATCGCAGCCTCACCAGCGGAATTTCTGCATTTCTGGCATTTCTGCACATTCTGCACTTCTGCAAATTCCCGGTTTTTGAAATCGATATATTTTCTTTTTCTGCAAGTTCCGCGGTTCTCCCAATTCCGCAGGTCTGCAATTCCGCCGTTCTGCACATTCCGTGGTTCGGCATTTCTGCATCATGTATTAGTGCGGCCTTACCTGCATAAGGCGAACAAAGTGCGTGGTCGGATGAGGTTTCGCTAGTTGGTGCCAGCTCTATTTCCTTATCATTTCCTCACCCGCACCATTCGAAATGGGGATGTTAGCAGCAGAATGGCCTACGTGCCAATGGCGCTGCGGTCAGGGGTCTCCGCCTATCCGATTAGTGTGGAAAGTGTTTTTAGATTCCTTGTATATCCATCAGTTATACCGACAAAGTACTGGTCCAAATATGGCAGCCTTTTAGAACAAGCTATTCTTTTTTTACACATTTTTATTTGGTGAGAACTTTGAGATACTATATTGAAACAGTCGCAGGACTTAAATCCAGAGCGTATTGCTTTACATTAGCGCTCTTCTACGATGCAGCTCAATAAAGAAATTCTTCAGTATTTCCCACCTAAAATGTGCTCAGGTGAATAGGAGGGGTATTCGTCGCCATGTGGGTGGTCGTGAACGAGGACGACGGTGGTCGAACTGAGAGCGGAGCCAGTCAGTTGTGAGTGCGCCTCGAGGAGAATGCCTAGAGAGAATTGATTGCGTCGCAGGATTTCAGTATGTAAACTGGCTCTGCTCTCTCTCTCTCTCTCGACCATCGTCGCATCGCGGCACATTGCGCTCGTGCTGATATTCGGTCGTCCCCCCCTACACACGCGTACAACCAACTACTTTACAACACTTTCTGCAGGGTCATTGAATTTCTCTTCTAATTTTGGCACACTCGAAGAATGTTGAGGGTTGCTAGTGAATAATCCATTTTGTTTATTCTTAATAGACTCATACAGGTTGAAAAAAGAGTTTTTATGCTGCGGAGGCTAGTTTTGTCAAACTTCCAACGCGGTGTTACCATTTGGCTGAAAATGTTACTCCATACTCCTCTTTCTGAGTGGAGATTATTGTGGTTGGCCGAGCCTAAGAGTTGCTTAATTTGTTGTTTGGACTTGTTAATGACTTTGTTATTTCACGTGTTCGTACTGAACGTCACCCCAAAGCAATGTTTTGGAATTCCAAGCTTCAATTCTAACGGTTGCTTCAATTTGAGGAAAGTGTTCCATCAGTAATTCAGCTGCAATTGCTCGCAATTCCTCAAAATCCTCGAGTTTTTGTTTCTGTCACGATAGCGAGATCACGTCACGAGCTCTGGAAACTCTCCTACACCTTCTTTTCTATACCCCTTCTATGTTCGATAATGT